TTTTTTTTGAAACATAGACGGCCTTGAGATATTATCATTGAGCTGACCGACCCCAGGCAATTCATTAGTAGCTGGTTTTCACTCATCAAGTTCCATCATCTGGATTCGAACACAGCACCTGGTCTGTATTTCAACATTTCATGGGTGTACCCACTGAGCTAGGCTCTTGGGTGATATCCGATTCTTCGGTCCTACCCCTTTGACGATGTAACTTGCGAGCGGGCATACTTTTTTTGTGGTTTCCTGATGTACCTGGCCGCAATTTCGGCGTTTATTCAGTCGGAATCTTTCAGGCTTTGCGGCCAAGTCCTCCTTCACCTTCGGTCATTTAAACCACCTGTGCGGGGCTCTCTCCACTCCTGATGACACGCACAAAAGACAAAATATGGTTGTGAATCTGCTGATGGTCTAGCGGAAGGTTCATTCTTTTTTCTTTCCTTTCTAATCTATTGTCTTCTCTCATTGTACTCCCATATACTTTTTTCTTCTCTCAATGTATTCTATATAGTTTTCCTTATCTTATTCATCCTCTCGCTACTCTCTTATGTATAGTATAGGGGAACACTAACCGAGCCTGGGGCATTTTTTTTTAATATCCATGTGATTAACCCCGAAGTATTTGCCCAGGGGCCTAGTTCAGTTAAAAACCAAAGTATTTGCCTGCGGGCCTACCGTCTTCCCCCGAACATAACGCACCCTAAAAATGAATGTATACAAGCTATATTTCCGCCAGATACACCCGAAATAAGAAAAAAAAAGGTGTTCGGGGGAAGACGATAACTCGGCTGGTAAGGCACAAAAGTTGCACTGAGGAGGTCGTGGGTGCAATTCCCAATTGCCCTCACATACGGTGCCCTCACATACGTGTTCTACCAGCTACTAGCTAGTGATAACCCGTTGTTGTCCCCCCCAAGGCAGCATTGGCAGGACCTTGGGCGAACGTTGTTGATTGGTATCCAACAGCGATATTGACCATTATTTGTAGTGGGTTTTTAGTGGGTTTGGGTTCCTAGTGGGCGTGGGTTTCAGGTGGGTTGGGGTTATTAGCAGGTTGGGTTTCTAGTGGGTTTGAGTTTCTAGTGGGTTTGGGTTTCTGGGTTTCTAGTGGGCGTTGGCTTCTACTTGGCATGGTTTTGAGGTGGAACTCGTTGTGCCCCCCAAGCCGGCATTGGCAGGACCTTGGGCCAATGTTGTTGATTGGTATCCAACAGCGATATTGACCATTATTTGTAGTGGGTTTCTAGTGGGCGTGGGTTTCAGGTGGGTTGGGGTTTCGAGTGGGTTTGGGTTACTTGTGGGTGTGGGTTTCGAGTGGGCGTTGGTTTCCAGTTGGCATGGTTTTGAGGTGGGACACCGCGACCTAAAAAAATAATTATGGGTTTGGCAAAGCAAAAACCTCTTCTTCGGTGAAGGCGTGATAAAGATTACCCCTTAAAGTAATCCTAAAAAGAAAAATCTGGGTTTGGCAGAGCAAAAACGTCTTCTTTGGTGAAGGCCTGATAAATATTTCCCCTTTAGGTAAACCTAAAAAAAACAAATCTGGGTTTGGCAGAGCAAAAACGTCTTCTTTGGTGAAGGCGTGAGAAGACGTGATAAATATTTCCCCTTTAGGTAAGCTTTCCCTGTTCTGAGAAACCTTTAGCGGTCGTGACGGGAACCTTTTTTTTTTTTTTTTTTTTTTGACAAGGAAAGACAGTCAATTATATTCCAAAAAGAACTTCAGACCGAGGCCGGGGAAAGCTCACAATTCTACACGGAAATATGTGGCAGCTTCAGCCAGTTTAGCTTAATTATACAAATCACTTCTACTACTGTCTACTCTAAATCCGCCTGCTTCCTCATATTTTCCTCTGATTTATGTCATAGCTTCACCAGTTAAAAAAAAAAGCCTCTCTGTGTGGAAAAGCCTTTTCTAGATCTGGATGACAATTTCTCTCCTGTCATGCGAACCGTTGTTTGGTCTTTTTTACCCAATTTTCATCTAGCCTACCAGCCGGGCCGCCCGGGTCACCTTGTTTTCCCGGGCGGTCCGGCCGTGCGAAGACCTAAGAAAGATCCCGGCCAAAGAAAGGAAAATCCAAAAAAAACTGAAAAAAAAAGTTATGCAGAAAAATGAACGGAACAACTGTTGCCTCAGGGTCACATTGATTTTCTTTAATTAATTAATTTTTAAAAAAAGTTTTTTTCTTATGTTTTAAAATGCCCGGCCGGGTAAATGGTCCCCGGCCACTCTGGTACCCTATATTTTTACCCATTTTGAGTAATGCCTTCAGATACGGGTTAGAGCATCTCTAGATTCTCTACTTTTTTGGAAATTGCTGTTCGGGACTTTTTTTTTACCGTTTTAATGACAGAATTACCCCCTGTTTCCCCNGCCAATCTCACGATGCTCTTTTTTCCGAAAATGGGGCTGCGTCGAATTAAAAACGAAAGTTCTCTCTGTTTCTACTGACGTCTCTGACAATCTTCCTATATGATGAATGATATGTTTTGTAGCTTATAATGTTTTTTTCCCTTCATGACAAACCTTGTTTCCTTTTTAATGACCGAGTTTCTATTATTTTGTGTTCCACTGTTTTGAGAAGTTGATGAAGAAGGTGCAGAATGCTTTAAGGAGGGTGAAGGGGAAAAAAAAGAAGAATGCTTTTGGTTGATGTGCTTGCTGCACGCTAGTCTCGGGCATCATATACGAACAAAAGAGAAAGGAAGAGAAAGTGGAAAGGCTTTTCGGTATAGTTTTATTAACGTTTTGGTTATGTTTTTTAGAATCTATGTCCTCTAAAACCTTACCTCTTTTTGTCTATATCCAATAATTTCTCGTTGACCACGACTTGTTGGAACAAGGCTCTCCACCGCTTTTCATCCTGTGTGCATTGGTTCAAAAATTAGGGTTTGAATGGATCTATGGGGGTTTAAAATTAAGGCTTTGTGCACCCAAGAACTGTTGAAATGCAGACCCAAGTTGAAATCCGTAGTTTTAGGTTAGGGTTTTGATAGATCTATGGTGGTTTAAAATTAGGGCTTCGTAGCTCAGTTAGTACACCGAAGAACTGTTGAAATATAGACCCGAGTTCAAATCCGTATGATGATGGGATCAGATGAACGATATATATCCTCCTGATTGATGAGTCGGTGAAACTCCGCCGAAACAGTTTCTGTCACAGCCGCTCGTTTGTTGTCTCCTCTTCTCCACTTCTCCCTCTCTTCCTACGTACGGTTTCCCGGCCAGATCTGTTTGACGATACATACATCACAGCCCCTCGTTCGTTGTCCTCTTCTCCCTCCCCTCCCTCTCTGCCTACGGTTTACCGTAGGCAGCTCTATTTGTCGATATATTCTGGGCTACCTACCAGCTGGTCCACTCGGGTCTCCTTGTTTGACTGCGGTGGCCGGGCCGTGCAAGTACCAGTGAAGGGCCCAGCCAAAAATTCTGAAAAAAAAACTACGTAATGGACAAAAAGTACTCTGAACAGCTTTTGCCTCACGGTCACATCGAAATTCTTTACCGAATTTGTTTATTCTTTTTTGGCCCTGCTGGGCCACTTGCCCTGGCCACTCTGGTAGCCTATATTTGTGCAATCAGACTTGCTATCTTTCACACTTCACATGTATGCAAACAGGTGGGCAGCAAACTGGCGACAAGCGCCCACTCAAACTCAGAGATATGGTAGCCGAGAACACAGTTCAGATACAAGTTCACTTCAATGGCTATGGCGACACATCGCCCACACAACCCTCTGTTCGCACACACAGGATCACCCTGGATATCCCACACAGGATACTCTGTACACACATACACACACACACTCGCAACACTCTACCTACAGCTATGGTGGCTATGGCGGCTGCTACCCTATCGCTATGGCTAAGCTCCTTCTCGCCCACTTCGTCCTCGGGCTCACTGCAGACCACCTCGCACAAGTCGCTGTGGCAGAGCTTCCGCATGGCTCACGCAGGAATGAATGAATGGCTGGGCGCTGCCCTCTGATTTATACTTCTGTAGTTCGTTGGTCTGGCCCTTTCCCATGCCCGTAGTGCACACAGTCCCATGCGGTACTTGCTTGACTGGACTAGGGCTGACTGGGAGTGGGACTGCTGACTCAGCACGTGTAGACTCTACCACTTGCCCACTTGCCTCAGCCTAAACGTGGGCAACTTCGAAAGGCCACTGCTAGGGCCTTCCGGAAAGCCGTGGACTTGGCCTTTCGATACTGTAGCAGCTACGACCTTAACCCTTCACTAGGACTCCTACCCGACAGGTCTACGGATCGAACCTCTACTACCTACGGACCCTACGACAGCCTACCAACTGTTACGAATACACAGGTCACGGGTTCAACTCTAGGGCTCGGCACAGATACTGTACACAGGTAAGGTGAGGACTAGGGATCGAGCCCTGGGATCTGCATCGGCTACTGCGAACAGGTGATTACCGTTTCATTTGTACTGTTTGACAGTATATTAAATGGTTTGAATCAATCTATTGCTTTTTTTTTTTTTATCCTCATTTTGTGAGCTTTTCTGCTTTGTTGCTTGCAGCCAGTGCGCTACTGTCTTCACGAAGTCGAAGAAGAAGGTGGAGAAGGGAGTGGCTTTCCCCACTTGTGTATCTGTCAACAATTGCGTTTGCCATTTCTCTCCGCCAGCAACTGACCAGACGGTGCTATCGGCGAACGACATTGTAAAGATGTAAGATTCAACTGCCCATCTTTTTCTTTCGTCCTTGCTTTTTGTTGTTGTTGTTGTTGTTGTTGCTTGCCCTTTCTTTCTTTGTCTTTAGATCCCATTCCAAATTTTCTGTGTCTGCTTTATTATCTCTTTCGAAGGGTAAGTAATGAATGGCATTTGTTTGAGTGGCGGGTTGATGATACGACGTGCAAAGGTTGGAATCCTTTTTACTTCAGGCCAGGGGGAATGCTCGACCTTCTGAGCCACGTGGGCCGTTTGTCTCGATGGGATTGTAATGGTATTTGTTTGTGTGGCAAGCAGATGGATGACGATAGTTTGTTGCTATAGCATTGCTATTGCTATATGATATTTATGTCTGCTCATGTGGTATGCATGATCTTTTGTTTGTATTTTCTGGCTCAGGATGGGTCTTTGATGCATAACCCCTGGTATTGATTGGTTATAGATTTTAGCGTGTCTGTGAGTCGATGCGATGTTCCCTGCAGATGCCATTCTCTCCTTGCTGTGTTATTACCCTGAGCGTAATGTCGTTTTATCATGGCTGTATTTGGCCAGGATGGCGACTGTATACATGTTCATGATGAGGGAAGTTTTTATCATGGCTGTTATTGGTCACAATGGCGACTGTATACATGTTCATGATGAGAGTTTTGTTTGGGGTGGGGGAATAAGGTATATGGTATATGGTCANATCATGGCTGTTATTGGTCACAATGGCGACTGTATACATGTTCATGATGAGAGTTTTGTTTGGGGTGGGGGAATAAGGTATATGGTATATGGTCAGAGATGTCTCTGTGCTGTGCCGTCCGTTGTCGTAATTATGCTTAGATTGGTGTTCCTGGTCGTGGCTTGTGTGCGAGTTCGTCGTTTTCTCATGGCTGTATTTGACCAGGATGGTGTCTGTATACGTTCATAATGAGACGGAGTTTTTTTGGGTGAGGAATAAGGTCGTATGCCGTCAAAGAATGTTGCTTTGCTGTGCCATGTGTTGTCGTAATTATGCTTATGCTTAGATTGCTGTTTTGTTGTGGCGGCTTGTGTGTGCGTTCCCTTCTCTCTGTTGTTCGTTCAATACAGTGATCTCGGATGTCACATCGACGGTTTTATCGCGGTGGTTGCACATACTGTTGTCCTCCAAGAGCCAGGCACGCCAGTGGCTGGAAAAGCAGCAGATGTCATGCAAGCTGCTCAGACTGCTTCTGAGGTTGCTATCCGTCTCGTGCGGCCGGGGAAGAAGGTGTGTATGCAAACGTGTTTGTGCTTCGACGATATTCGAGTCGTATTCTATTTTGTTGGGACTTTCGTTTTTTTGAATTTGGACCGTTTCTCGATTAATGTGTGTCATCCTTGCGCAGGGGCCATGCTAATCTTCATTCTGTGTATTTCCAGTTTTAACGGATGTCCTGAAGGACAGAACTTTGGGTATTCTAGTGGGCCAGTGGTGTTGTAATTGTATTCTATTCTGTTGAAACTCTGTGTATTCTAGTGGGCCCAGCTCCACGGGCTCTCTCTGACCGGTCAGGTGCCCAACTGGGTGCAAAGTCCAGAGCTCGTCGAGGCAATCCCGGGAAGTCCAGCACGGAATCTTAAGAATGCGAGGATTCAAAAACGTCGGGGAAAACAAAATCATTTTGAATGCGAACTTTTTTGTCGAAAAGTCGCTCTGACAATCTCTAGTACAGTCAATCGACAAGATCCCTAGCGCATTCAAACGAGAAGATGAGTAATATATCAAGTAAAGTAAAAAATAGAAGATGCACCCCTGTAGCACCTGTATACCCCTGTTAAATCCTGGATTTTTTTAACCTTGTTACCGTCCAACTGCATTTAACGAAACAAATAATTAATAATATTGAATAAAATAAGGGGAGATGCACCCCCATTGCCGTTGGTTGTGTGTTTGAGTCTTGTATGCGGATTACACACAGGCCTGGCTCCCCACTGTGTTTTTTCTCGGGGTGCGAAATCCGCGATGGGGAAAAAAAGCTCAGAGGTTCTGGTGGTTGTTTAGTGTTCGAAGTGGGTCAAGGGGGGGTAATTCAATATGGAAGTAAGGGTCCGTCTTCGTGTCTGGTTTGTCGTCTTATACAGGAGTCTACAATGCTTCTTCTGGATGTTGTGCTGGTGGAGGAGTTTGACAACGTTGATTTGAAACATCTGCAGTGGAACCTGGACAGGATTTTGTACTGTGGTGCAAAGATATTTTGCTGCTTTCCTGATATGATGTTATTGGAAGCGAGCAGCAAACTGCGAATCGTTTTCCTGGCATCGCTTAATTGGATGGGTAGGGAAGTCAAGTTTTGATTGGCTAGGGTATATGTTTGACGACGGCTTTCCCATGTCAGGTGTGCTATGGTTTCTATTTGCATTCATTCAATGTTGCATTCATTCGAAGAATGCGATGCGGTGACAAGCTCAAGAGGAGGATGATGAAACGCACTGGGCACCGACTCTCCGTGAGAGAGATGCTTGATAGGGCCTAGAAAACCCAATCCTGACTCCTCTCTCCCTTTCCCCCGCTTCGCTTTTCCCTTTTTCCCCATCCTGCGGACCGGGGCCGAACGGACTGATTGCCTTGTATGGTTGTGATCGGACCCGAAGGTGAACCGGTTATTGGGCCGGAGTTTAAGTGGCTGGATGTCACACGTGTGTAACTTCTAGTATACAGATCGGGAGTTCAAGCCGTAACAGGATCAGGTGGATACAATAATGGTAAAGGATGGGAGGAGGGATAGGAGGGTATGCCATCATCCATCTTGCGAACGGGGGCTGAAGGGACTGCCTTGAAAGATTGCAATTGGACTCGAGGGGAAGCTGCGTATATAAAACCAGTCAGCCCATGTTGTCTGATAACGTTGACGTTTTGGCGTATTGAATGTGCTAATCTGTCCCACGTTTGCTAGAATTTTAACCGTTGGAAAGGAGGAAGAAGGATGAAACGCACTGGGCACTGATTAATCCTTTGTGATCGAGATGCAAAAAGGGACTTGAAAACCCATGGCCGACTTCCCTTTTATTAGGTGACCAGATTTCTTGGCTTTGTTGCTGTACTGGATTTGCTAATCTGTCCCACGTTCGCTAGATTTTTTAACCGTTGTAAACGAGGGAGAAGGATGAAACGCACTGGGCACTGATTAATCCTTCGTGATTGAGAGGCGAAAAGGGCCTAGAAAACCCATTGCTGACCTCCCTTTTATTAGGTGACCAGATTTCTTGGCTTTGTTACTGTATTGGATTTGCTAATCATCTCCATGGTCGCTATAGATCTTTAACTGTTGTATACGAGGAAGGAGGATGAAACGCACTGGGCACTGACTAAACCCTTTGTGATCGAGACGCAAAAAGGGCGTAGAAAACCCATTGCTGACTTCCCTTTTCATGCATTTGAAACATTGTATTGGAGATAGACTTCACTTCGGAGAGGATGCCTTGTTGTTCTTGAAAGACAAAGAACCTGTCCAAAACCAGATTCCAAGACGAATAGCCCCAGCGAATGTGCATTTCTGAGGGCTCTTTTTCCGGGTCGAAACGGAGGGGTGAAAATGGACTTCGCAGTGTCGGCAACAAGTCCGGCATATTATAATGGACACACTGACTGATTCATGGTAAAAGGGAGTTAAACACTGGAGAGGAATGTGTTTTCGCACTCTCTTTTCGACATAGAGAAAAAAGGAAACAAAGTGTGATAGGGAGTTGTCATATTGCACTGGGCACTTGAAGGGGGAAGAAGGATGAAACGCACTGGGCACTGATCTCTGTGATCGAGACGCGAAACGGGCCTAGAAAACCCATTTCTGACTTCTTATTCTCACATGTCATGAAAGAATTGAAGCAAGGTAGGTAGGTTGAAGTTCGGGATAACGCCGGGGCATTGACTTTGTGTTGTGGGCTAGAGCCTGTCGATCGTAGGGGAAGAAGGATGAAACGCACTGGGCACTGATCTTTGTGATTGAGAGGCAAAACGGGCCTAGAAAACCCATTTCTGACTTCTCTTTCTCACATGTCATGAAAGGATTGAAGGAAGGTAGGCAAGTTGAAGGTAGGGCCTTTGACTTTGTGTTGTGGGTGAGAGTGGCTTCGATTGGAACCTGTCGATTGTAGGGGAAGAAGGATGAAACGCACTGGGCACTGATCTCTGTGATTGAGACGCAAAACGGGCCTAGAAAACCCATTTCTGACTTCTCATTCTCACATCTCAGAAAAGGATTGGAGGAAGGTAGGTAGGTTGAAGTTTGGGATAAGGCCGGGGCATTGCCTTTGTGTTGTGGCTGAGAGCGACTTTGAGTGGAACCTGTCGGTCATAGGGGAAGAAGGATGAAACGCACTGGGCACTGATCTCTGTGATCGAGACGTAAAACGGGCCTAGAAAATCCATTTCTGACTTCTCATTCTCACATGTCAGAAAATGATTGGAGGAAGGTAGGACGGTTGAAGTTCGGGATAAGGCCGGGGCATTGACTTCGTGTTGTGGGTGAGAGCCTGTTGATCATAGGGGAAGAAGGATGAAACGCACTGGGCACTGATCTCTGTGATCGAGAGGCAAAACGGGCCTAGAAAACCCATTTCTGACTTCTCATTCTCACATGTCAGAAAATGATTGGAGGAAGGTAGGTAGTTTGACGTTCGGGATAAGGCCGGGGCATTGACTTTGTGTTGTGGGTGAGAGCCTGTCGATCGTAGTGGAAGAAGGATGAAACGCACTGGGCACTGATCTCTGTGATCGAGACGCAAAACGGGCCTAGAAAACCCATTTCTGACTTCTCCCTCTGGCTACAAAGGGATTGGACGGAATTTCTTTCACCAAGGTAGGATGGGCTGCGGATTCTCGATGAGAGACGGATCGCTGTGATCGAGAGGCAAATCCGGCCTGGGAAACCCATTTGTGACTCGCTCTGGCCACAAAAAGGATTGCACGGAACTGCTTTGACCATCTCTTCCAGATGGAGAAAGCGGGAAAGGACGTTGGCTGATTGAAGGGGGAGCAGGATGAAACGCACTGGGCACTGATCTCCTCTGTGATCGAGAGGCAAATCGGGTCTAGAAAACCCATTTCTGACTTCTCCTTCCGTCTTGTTATTAAGCTGTCGAATGAATGGAATTCAATTTGTCGAGGGATGCAGACTGAAAAAGAAAAAGTAAAAGAGAAAGTAAAGAAAGGGATGCAGACTGGAGTTGGAGCTAAAGGGGAAGACCACTTTTGTTCTATGCTGCGGTCAAGGAAGGGATGAATGAGTCTAGAGAGTTTTCTCGTCAGAATCGTATCTCCTTTTCAAATGACATTGGAAAGTAAGACATAGTATGGTACAGTACTACACATGATATTTTTGAGGAACAGGGACGTTTTGCATAGTAATAATTATGTGGAAACGTAGGCGTCAGGCGTAAGTATGTTTCCACTTTCTTTTGTTGACTGTAGGGGGAGGATGATGAAACACGCTGGGCTCTGATCTCTGTGATAGAGAGGCGAACTGGGCCTAGGAAACCCATTTCTGACTCCTCCTTTTGAGGTGTTTGGAGTTGTATATTTTTAGTTCAACGTAGGTGAACTGGAGTTTGTCGTGAAGGGCAGAACACCCACTGTATGCTTTGGATGAGGGGCTGAATGAGTTGCATCTCCTTATTTCTGTCGTATGTGATTTTCAAATGAAGTTGGAAAATAAGCTGCGGTGTCCTTCGGGACATCCGCTGAAATTGGAACGATACAGAGAAGATTAGCATGGCACCTGCGCAAGTATTGACACGACTAACTCGAGAAATGGTCCAAACGTTTTTAGGAAAATACGGTGCGGCATATGGTACATGGTCTTTCGTAAGGAACAGGTACATTTTTTTGTGTCATGTAATTACTGTCTTCTGCATCCGAGTAAAACGTATGGTCATTGTAGCGGTATTTGGTGTATCTTTCCGTGTAGATACAGCAGTAACGACCGTAGGTTGTATTCGGGTGAAGAAGGGTAATTAGTAATTACTAATTAATTTATTAATGATTATTACCTTGGAATGCACAGTTTGTAGTCCTGTGGGCAGTCAGGTGGAAGTGCAATCAGAGCCAGAGCAAGTTTTTTTTTTTTTTTTTTTTTTTTTTGATGAATCGATTTGAGCACAGTGGAGGGTAGTTACTTTTGGGCCTCCGTCCACTGTGTAATGCTCTTCATGCATTTGGATGCTTTCTGGATAGGATACATCAAGATGTCGGAATCGTCCGAATGCAGCTGGTCAAGAAATTTACCCAAATGCAAGTAGAATGCCGGGTAGTGCAGCGAGGCCGTTTATTTGAAGTTGGGGGGTGTGTTTGTCAGTAGGGATATGAAATCAGGGTACTGTCAGGCTGAAGTTGTGCAAGTTTGAAGTCTCCCATATGCATGTGTTTGTCTGAGCAGGTGTCAGGGATGGCGGGGTACGCAGTAAGCAGCTGTGGAAGGTGTTTTGGTGTTGGATTCCTGTGTTGGCTACACCATAAGTTATCTAGTGCTCTACCTCTTGGAATGAAGATCGCACATGCACATTAATCCACAGCTCCTCCAGAATGGCTGGTTATACCCCAGAGAGAAGGATTGAGTTTGTGAGTGAAGTCATCCCTGTGTGTTTGGCAAATCTATGGATCATGTACCCATGTCAGAGATATCTTTTCCCAAGGACTGTTGCACACTAGAAGTAGAAGAGAGAAAAGACTTTGATCTGTACGAGTGCTTTGTTGTTGTTGTAGTCTCTCTCTCTCTCTCTCCCCTCTCTCTCTCTCTCTTACATCCAGTATGCTTGTTCTTCCCGTCGCGGATTTACTTTCTGCCTGCTCTCTCTCTCTCTTACATCCTGGGATGCTTGTTCTTCCTATTGCGGAGTTACGTTCTGACCGGAGTAGATTTGGGAATGCTCTAATGTTTAATTAGTAGGTCATACACTCAATCATGGCCAGGAGTGTCGTTTTAATGCACGTTTTTGTACCGCATTGGCGTGTATGTTTGCTATCTGGTCTGTGTTGTTGTGTCTCCCTTTTTGCTTCTTCTCAGGTCATGCGTCTGACCAAATAAATTGATTATTGTATTTATAACATAATTAGATTATCATAATTATCAATATGGATATTTGATTTATTGTACATATTATATTTGTGATTCAGATTGAGCATGTTATAGATTGACGTCTTTCTTTCTTTTTCTATATATTCTCTGCATGTACGTAGAACTACGATGTCACAGATGCATTGCAAAAGGTCGCAGCGGCGTATAACTGCAAGGTGGTGGAGGGAGTTCTCAGCCATCAGATGAAGCAATTTGTTATTGACGGCAACAAGGTTATTCTGAGCGTTGGAAATTCTGAGACAAGAGTCGAAGATTTCGAGTTTGAAGAGAACGAGGTCTATTCGATAGACATCGTCATGAGCAGCGGCGACGGAAAGGTAGTCCGTCTTGTCTGTGCTTGGTATTACTGTTGTGTTCCTTGCAACGCACCTTTGATGCACTCCGGATGCACCCTGATGCGAGAGCTTGGAATGAACCAACTATTATTCTGTTTGCTGTGCAAGCATGACCTTATTACCTTCTGGATTGTAATTAGGAGTGTGTTTGGCATTATGACTTTTTTTTTTTTTTTTTTTTTTTTTTGATGCATTCGTGATGTAAGTTCCCTTTTTGTTTAAATGTATTGGTGATGCATGCGGTGATTTTTATTTATTTATTTATTTTTAGAAAACAATGCAGGCATGGGAAGGCAGCTGCATCTGCTATGTTATTTTCTTCTCTCAATATTTTCCATCTCACACTCCCTACGTTGGGCTGTGTACTCAAACTGGTATACCTACCTTCGGGACCTGCAAGGGGCGCACGGCAACCCAACCAGAAAGGAACCCCACCCCATGTTTCAAAGGCCAACTACAGGGTTCAGGGTTGAAGACCACCCACTACCTACCTACGGAAGCAGGCTTGGAGCTTAAACTCACTAGCCAGAACTAGGTTATCCTTAAGGTTATGGGTCTATGCCTACCTATGTTTGCTCGGTGCAGGGAGCAGTACCCAAGCTCCTAGCACCTGGAAGGTGTTGGAAAGAACCCCTTACTTCTATAACCAGCCAACAGTCTCCGGTGGTGAACCGGAAGCATACCCCCAGGAGGTTGTGGGGATGGAAAGGACGACGCTCGGTATCGAACCCACGACCTCCTGAGCGCCACTTACGTGCTCAGCCAACGGAGCTCGGTGACGTTGTTGTTTCCTGTTGGCTATCTCTTTTGCTGTCCGCTCTCCGCTCTCTTCTTCATGTGTGCTCTTGGTTGAGTCATGATGTAGGTGTGCAGTATGTCGCTTTGCAACCTCAGTTCTGCTGAACATCTCTCTCTCTGAGTCAATTCTTATCGCATGGATGTGTGACTAAGTAATTTATATTGCGATGTTGTATCTTTTTAATTTTGATAAATGGCTAGATGTGTTCTTGTGGCAATGGAATTGACTCATAGATCGAAATGTGCACACTACCGTCTTCCCCCGAATGCAATGCACCCTAATTATGAGCACATTGTACTGGAAAGTTGTCTTGTATACATTCAGAATCAGGGTGCGTTATGCTCGGGGGAAGACGGTTGTGTTGGACGGTCCGTTGATAGGTTTTGATGAACGGCTATTTGTTTGGCACTGTGATTGGTATGTGTGAATCTACAGCCAAAGATGCTGGATGAGAAGCAGACGTCGGTCTACAAGCGGGCGGTGGATCGAAACTACAGCCTCAAGTTGAAGGCGTCCCGGTTCATTTTCAGCGAGATCAATCAGAAGTTTCCTATTATGCCATTCACTACTCGGTGAGTCCCGGATGACCCTACGGATACATAGACTGTGTTAAACTTCTTTTGTGCGAGTTCTAACGAGTCCGGTCGTGGCAGTCTTGCGAGCTGTAGGCTGCCCATGAATATAGACAGAAAGATAGCACGAACGGAGTCGTTATATTGGGTTGAATGCGGACCTGAAGATGGCAGGCATGTTATCGTGGGGCGTATTGGATGCTGAATGATGCCTACACCAGTGGCAGTCTCACGAGCTTTCATGACATGGGTGGGCTGAATGCAGACAGGAAGGTGGCAGGCGTGCCGTCATGGCACGTGTTGGATGCTGAATGATGCCTAACTCTGTACTAGTCTATAACTTCGGGGTAAGTTTAGAACACTAACGTCTCGGTCATTGGGGATGATGTCTTTATTGCGATTCTACGTATCGGTCTGGCGCCATTTTTTTTATTTTTCAGCAGAGTACTTGTTGAAGTTTGTCGGCAATTTGTTCTGAATGGATTGTGCAGCTCGTCCGCCGGGGCTTACGGATTGACGTTTGATCTGTCACAGGTCTCTTGATGAGAAAAGGGCAAAGCTTGGGCTTGTGGAGTGCTTGAATCACGAATTGCTTCAGCCATACCCTGTGCTGCATGAAAAAACAGGTAGGCCTGTCGTTTCCGAACTGTGGATGTGAAATCCCTTGTTGTCTTGCATTCGATGAGTGTTTTTTTTTTTAAATTGTGACCTCGATTTGATGGAAGTCCATCCTGTCTTGCATACCGACTGGGTTGATATGATGTCTGTGTCGATGCAAGCATTACAGTACATCTCACAATGGCTTGATATGAAAAAGTGTTCCACATGTGGAGGGCATGAAGCCAAGGGGGTGCCATCTTGTCGAAACTGGGGTTGTGTTCCTCTCTACCTCCTTCCTCTTCCTCCCCACCTTCCTCCCCTTGTCCTGCACTCCCTCCCCCCCCCCCCCCCCCTCTCTGCACCCCTTGACTCCTCTCCCAAGACCACCCCTGAAAGTGGAAACAGGACCTCGCTGCCTGAGGCATGTGAATAGCGATTGCGAGTTGTATAGCGTTTCTTCCTTAGAGCTTACGAAAAAGGCAAAAAGGTTTTCAGATGAAGCGGGCTCTTGTACGGTTGGTCACTTTTCATCTTAAAGACTACCACATTGTGATGAATGTTTAGTCGATTGGGGCACGGAGTGGTTGGGAGGTGTGATTGATGATTTCACATTGTTTTAGCTGCTGATGCGAATAGCTATGGCCAATTTTTTTTTCAGATGAAGCGGCCTCTTGTACGGTCGGTGACCTTTAATCTAAAGACGACCAAGATGACCACATTGTGATGGATGTTTAGTCGATTGGGGCACGGAGTGGTTGGAATGTACTGGAAGGGGGTGCTTTCTTCCACGCATGGTTTCTGCCACTGTCCTGTGTGATCAAAGTAGACTAGCCAAGGGTCTACGTGATATGTATCTGTAGTAGAAGGGTCGACGTACTATGCATCTGTAGTAGAGTTTTGTGGTATTCTGCTTCAGTAATAAAGGGGGTGTTCATCATCATTGATTGTTAATCTTTTGCCTTTCTTCTTTTCCAAAACGGATCTGCACATCCATATGGCATGACCAGTATGCAGTCTTTTGCATGTTTGTGCTGCGTCTATTGTGTGAATTATTCTCCGTTCTTCGTACTGCAGTCTGCTCTTGGAGTGGTTCATGCGATGAGGTTTTTCATTCTGGTCCTGTTAACTGTGTTTTTGATGTTGCGGGTGCGTTCTTTTGTATGCAGGTGATATTGTTGCGCATTTCAAGTTTACGGTCCTCCTGATGCCAAGTGGTTCAGATCGGATCACATCACACCCAGTTCAAGTCCTGCAGCCAACATGCACTCTAGAGGACCCGGACGTTAAGGCGATACTAGCTTTGGGTACCAAGACGAAAAAGAAGGGTGGGGGTGCGAAGAAGAAGAAGGGTAGGTATTTGGCCATTTTGTCATTCATTAGAGTCCATAGGACTCCATACAGATGTGTGATTCGTGGACGTAGAAGGAAACCTCGCCTGCAAGGCCCAAGCCTGCAGGGAAAAGAAACTCATTGCCTACTCAGAAAAACTCAGAGCCGTGTCGCCGTTGAAAAAATTCGTCGATGGCCTTTGTTGCGTGTCGGGCCTGCCTCCGAAAGTGCGGCGAGGGTCCCGCGGCCTGTATATGGCCATGTACTGGTCGTTTAAATCAGATGGACAGCTTGTTGCTACCGGAGCCCTGCAAAAGAGTAGCTACAGGGATTTACTATGGGAGTGCCGTCCACTACTGTCTTCACGGGAATATAACGCCCGGTCATTATAGCTGTATTTGGCACAACTTTCAGCCCAATAGGGCGATAATTACTGTGCGTTCTATTCGGGTGAAGACGGTAGGTTAGGATGGCCTCTGATAGGTGGACAATTTGACATTGTGGCTTGGAAGAGGGACTCCGTACGAAGTGCGTTTGCAGATTGTGACGAAAGCTATCACATCGGAATTGACATGCGGTTTTTCTTACAGATGGCATTGAAGGGCACACACAGTGGGTTGGGATGCTTCTCTCACCGTCTGCACGGGCGGACGCGGTCGAAAACATCTGTGTCTGAGTATGGCAGAAGATGCACACGGCCAATCATTCGAGCCTATGACTGTGCCGAAGGATTGACCGTATTGCTATGTCGTGTGCAGGGTGTTTGGGAAACAGGCGGCATATGAACCTCAACTCTTCTGTCTTGTGCTGTGCTCCCCTCCCCCCCCCCCCCCCCCCCCCCCCCCCCCCCCCCCCCCCCCCCCCCCCCCCCCCCCTCCCCCCCCCCCCCCCCCCCCACACCCCCCCCGCTCCTCGCTTTGCTCGCGCCGGCAACATCTTGCGCCTTCCCGCACCCCAAGAACTGTCTCTTATACACATCTAGATGTGTATAAGAGACAGCTTGGGGACTTCCGTTAAAATTGGAAACAGGCGGCATATGAACCTCACCTCCTCTTTAACCGCTTTCCCGGTTTAAAAAGCGCTGAAGGCAGTTCTTGGGGACCTTCCGTTAAAATTGGAACGAAACGGAGATATGATTAGCATGGCCCTTGCACAATGATGACACGTAAACCTAGAAATGGTCCAGAAAACGAATGGGGTGGAGGCTATGATGATTGTGTCAAGGGAATATGGAGCAGGGCACAAAATGCAAACTGCAATAATCATGGTTCTGTGTTGGCCTCAGTTGGAAGCGAGAACAAGTAATAAATAAATATTAAATATCCTCAGGGATGCAAAGAGCGCATCTTTTTTGGAAGTGGTAATAAATACTAATAAGTAGTAAATCCCCTGACTAATGCGAAGAGCTCATCTGGTATTAAGTTGTTGATGACATTTCTTTTTCCCCATCTTGTGGTCGGTATCCGTTCCAAAACTCATGTTTGAAAAGGTCCACGAAAAGCTGTTCCAGCTGAGTCTGACAAGTGCAAGTGTGATTGTTTGTTTGTGTATCTCAGCAGCGGCTGCAAAATCTGCATCTGCTGATGCTGGGGCATCTGCTATGTCTACGGAAGGATCGAATGATAACGCAGAAACAGAGGAGAAATCGACAGCGGATGGCACTGGAGTCTCGGCTGCTTCGACGTGAGAGTTGGGCGTGCTTTGACTTGGGCTCCAATTTTGTTCGTCTTTAGGAAGGAAGAAAAAGCTCTTTGCGTCTTGCTGCCTGTCGTTCCTTCAGAGTCTTATCGGGCTTGCTTGCTGCTTCTGTTTGCCCCTCACTCTCAATTCCATCATCATCATCATCATCATCGTCATCATCATCGTCGTCGTCGGCTCTGTCCAACGAATGTGCCATCACAGGGGTCTCTTTTCAGGCAGTACTGATGTGTCGCTGGAGAGTTTGTTTTTCCCGAGCTGCATGTACCCTCTCTCCTTTCCCCTGATCCTTTCTCAGATCCCAGCTGCAGTACCATCTCTACTCGTTCTTACCTGTCGGCTGACCACGGGTTGTGTTCTGTCCATGTTCATATGGACTTGGCTGAGTATGCGGCACTTCGTAACTTTGCAAACTTATTCTTTGTGTTTCTGGATTAATGCAAAAAAAGTGCTCGCTGTTTCCGGCAAGAAGAGGCCGCTTGCTGAATTGTGGGGTCCCTTCTACCAGGCGGAATTGAGTGAGTGAATTGTATGGTTTGTTTATCGTACTCATATAAGCTTATATCACGTTCTCTCTCTCTCTCTGTGTTTAGTTCTCTCTCTCTCTCTGTTTAGTTCTCTCTCTCTCTCTCTCCCTCTCTATGTCTCTCTCCCTCTCCCGCACCGTGCTTGTGATTGGAATATGAGATTGCAAAGATTGCAATTGATAATGTATGCCCGATAGCGTGAGGGAGGTAAGTGAATATGCAGTCTTCTTATGGCAGTGGTGATATTTAAGCTCGTAGTGGATATAGTGTGCCTGATCTCATCTGGGATGTAAAGACGTAGTGGACACTCCTTATAAAGATAAGGAGGTGGTATATTTTGATGCGGTCGTGATGTATTTGCCGCCTAGCCTTGTATTGTTGGGTGGAGGAGCGTACTCTATCATCTATAGAAGGGGTGAAGACCATTTTGTTTGTATTTTTTTTGTGAATGCCGGCATGTAAACGCGATGGGGTATATGATGGCAGTCGTGTGGCCTAAGGGTGGCATCTCTCAGTTGGCTGGGGTTGTAATGCTTGGCTGAAATAGCATGCATGCTAGTTCCACTATAAGAAGCTTGTTTTTTTTTTGTTTTTTCTTTTTTTAACACGTAGGCTATCGGAGCTTGGTTTGTGAGTGTGGGTATGAGAATGTGTGCATCATCAACATGGTGTCTCGTTTGAAAGACTTCTCGGTTGCTGCGGTGTGCGTACGGTGGATCGCCAATGTTGTTCACAAGGGTTGGTACATGTCAACCCATACGGCAAGAAAAAAAAATCAATGGCCTTTCAATCTGCTCAGAGACCTGCAGCATGTAGGGTAAATACTAAACAGTTAGTGCATGGTTTCTGACAATGCGTGTTGCAGAATGCAGCTTTGTTGAAGTCTATTATGGATGAAGAGAAGTGTGTTTGGTGTTCGTGATGTTGTGGAAGCGAATCTGCTTGCCGTCTTTGTCGTCGGGATTGGTTGTTTCTGCTGTCAATGCGGAGGGAATGCCCTTTGCATCTCTCCATGACAGACCGTTCTTGCAAGACAAGTGAACATAGTGCAGTGTTTGAGTCTGTTAAGCGCTTACGAAAAGAGCCGAACTCCCCCCTCTCCCCCCNCCCCCCCCCCCCCCCCGCGCTGATCTCCCCCGATCCCTGTAACTCTAGTTTGGAAACATGCAAATTGTTTTTTTTAAGAAAGGTCTCGTGCTGTTAATTCTGCTTTTTGGTTCGGTGGAAGTTGAACTGCTGCATGGCGAGGACGACAACAGAGGTATGCTCTGAACTCTGAATATTTTGACGTGACGTTTTTTTTTTCATGTCGAACTCAGTTCTATGAACTGGCAAGCTTGTCGTGAGCGTTGGTTGTCGGCACAGCCGGGGGCGGTATCGGCTAACGGTTAGAAGAAGCATATTGAGCGCAATGTGAGCGAATGCTGAAATTGGCGACCAGCCCCCTGCCAAGTTGCTGCCCACTCTCAACAAACAGGGGCATTTGTGTAAACAGCTTAAGAGGTGAGGTAAGACCGTAAGAGTAACGAGAAGCGGTTGCTAGCAGATTGTTTTCCATTTATGGAGTACAGCGAGTTCTATAGCTTTCAGACAGAATTATGCCAGCCTTCTGTAACCTTTCGAGAGGCTTGTTTGCATTACAAATGAATGCCTCGTCGCTTGGAGAGGACTATAATGGACTGACCCCAATGCGGCGGATAGATCTTAATGAAAACTTATTGACTATTATTTTATTGTATATTATTATTTTATGGTATATATAGATAGAGTATTTGATTTACTCGTTGCATACGGGAGAGGACTTTTGGATTAGGTTCGGTAAGGAAGGTATAGCGGATTTAGCCTCGTTAGCGTTGACGAATCCTATTTTAATAATTTTAGCAATTACAATGTCTATTACTATGCCTTCATTGGAAGGCGACTTTGATCACCAATCGGCAGCAGAACTAGCGGCTGCAAATTTCTCCATGTACTTGTGGCATTGCCTCTCAAGTTGGCGCGGACAGCATTGCTTATTTCTTTTTTTGAAGGAATTACTTATTTCATTACCTAGGTGACTAGGTCCATCTCTGAATCTGAACTCGAGTCTGCATTTCAACGGTTCATGGGTGTACTAACTGAGCTTGGACTGTTGCTTAGGAGCCAATTGTCGCAGAGAGGAGAGCGTGTGAGTGAGACGAAGAAGTATTTCAGGTCAGTATTTCAACAGTTCATTGGTGTGTACCAAACGAGCTTGGCCTGTTGGTTTGAAGCACATTGTGGCAGCTGATCCATCACATGGGAGGCATTTTTTGCTGCATAGTGTCCACATGGGAGGCATTTTTTTCCGCACAGTGTCCACATGGCAGCTTGGCCTATTGGTTTGAAGCCAATTGTGGCAGCAGTTCATGTATGTTTTGAGAGTGGATCGGGTGCTGATGATGGAAAAAAAAATGTTATTCGAAGGCAGCGCCTGCCGTTGCTCTTATGAGGCATTGAATATAATTGTCACTACCACTGAAGCACACACCAATGTCGATGCTCTGTAGCTCAGGCCATAGATGCTTGTGCAATCCTGCGTGTCAAATCCCTGGAAATGGGAGGGGACGTTCCAAGAGTAAATAGGGTCCCGGCGATGGAAAAAAGCGGTGTCGATGGAAGGCATATGGGAGGCTCTGCTGGCTGGTGTGGATGTTTTCAGAGTGGATTGGGTGCTGATGATGATAAATAAATGTTATTTGAAGGCGGCGTCTGTCGCTGCTCTTATGAAGCATTTAATATAATTGTCACTACCACTGAAGCACACCAGTGTCGATGCTCTGTAGCTCAGGACGTAGATGCTTGTCCGATCTTGCGTGTCAAAAAAATCCATGGAAATGGGAGGGTGCATTCCAAGAGCGAATAGGGTGCCGGTGATGGAAAAAAAGCGGTGTTGATCGAAGGCAACATCAGTGGTAGAATATAATTGTCACTACCACTGAGGCGAATATAATTGTCACTAAACTTAGAATATAATTGTCACTACCACTGAGGCACGCACACCAGTGTCGATGCTCTGTAGCTCTTTCAGGTTTGCTGTCCGTCTTGAAGAATTTAGTTTGGCCAAATTGGTAGGATGTTGGCTGCTAATGATGGAAAACTACTACAAAAGATGAAGGTGACATGCGTTGTTGCGCTTGTGAAATTCTTCAAGTAATTGTCACTACCTCTGAGGCAAGCTGAATGTGGATGGTCTGGAGTCGGGAGCAGGGGGGGTGCGTTGCGTTAAGTAAACCACATAGATGGGCAGCTTACCGCGCTTAGCGACTGGGAGAACTTAGTTTGGCCAAATTGAGAGGATGGTGGCTGCTGATGATGGAAAAAGACTGCAAAATCTGAACGCGACATCCATTGTTGCGCTTGTGAAATTTCTTAGAGTAATTGTCACTACCGCTGAGGCATGCCGATGTGGATGACGTGGAGTCAGAGGCAGGGGGGTGTGCATTCCTGTACGGAAAAAGCATGTAGATGGGCCGCTGACGGCTTTTGGTGAGTCTGGCAGGTCCAGTTAGTGTTTCCCTTCCATTTTTCGTGCGATAAGGTAAATTTTGGTGCCACGCTTCGAAAAGTACTTCGCTTGGATCGAGAACAAATTTCATCTCGTTTGACAGATATCAGCCGTTGGCTGCCGATGATGGAGAACCTGAAAACACTGAAGGCAACGTTTGGAGTTGTTGCTCTTGTGAGAACTCTCAACACAATTGTCACTACCACTGAGGCATGCTAACGCAGAGGCTGTGGATCTCTCTTCTTGGGTAAGAGGCTTTTTCTTTTTTTTCTTTTTCTTGGGGGGGAGGGGGGGTGAGAGACGCAAATTTGTTCTGAAAACATTGTAGTTGTTCTTCGAGAGGAGTGAAGTGGGTGCTAATGAGAGAAAACATGCAAATAATGAAAGGCGACATCTACCGTCTTCACCCGAATAAAATGCCCGGTCATTATGGCTGCATCTAGACTGAAAGTTGTGCCAAATACAGCTAGAATGACTGGGCGTTCTATTTGGGTGAAGACGGTAGTTCCCAGTTGCGAAACTTCTACACAAGTGTCACTACGGCTGAGTCATCGCAGCCTGCTCCCTGGCCACAAATGTAGTGAGGCATCCAATTTTGCTCTGGTTGGTTGGACTTTTATGGTGTCCATCTCTCTATTGGGCAATTGGATGCGTTTTTCTTTGGCCAACAGTATGGCACTCCGCTTTCTGGAATGATCATTTGGGTGGCTCTTTTTTTTTCTCTTCTTTTTTTGCGCCAATCGGATGCTTATGATGGAAAAATCGCAAAATAACGAAAGGCAACATTTGCCTATCTGTGTGTGAACCTCGAGATCATATTGTCACTACCGCTGAGGCATCCGATACTCTGATTCCAGGGCATGAATGTTATGAATCAGGGCGTGAATGTTATGAAAGAGTCTGTTCTACTGCATTGATTAGGTGTTAAGGCTATCCTCCTCACTTTTAGAGAGCCAAGAGGGGTTTATCTCGTATTTGACTGGACTTGAACCTGATACCTTTCTTTACACTCGACGACCTCGAGTCGGTTATTGGGTGCTAATGATGGAAAACCTAGCAATAACGAAAGGCAACATGTGCTTTTGTCGCATGTGTGGAATTTGAAATTATTGTCACTACCACTGAAGTACCCTTTTTTTTTTTTCCTTCCACCTTTGTGCAGGATACCACTGGAGGCTAGTGTTCTACTAGCAACTCCATAAGAAATGCAACACTGTTTTTTTTTTCCTGTTTTTATTTTTTTTTTTACTTTTATTTTTTCTGGCCTCACGTTCTCGCAAATGACTTCATCCCAGTGACAGCTTCTAGAATAGGAGAACGGCTACCTTCTTCCCCCGAATACAACCTTTGGTCATTATAGCCGTATCTAGACTGAAAGATGCCTCAAATGCAGCATCGATACTGGCCCTGTGTGTTGTATTCAGACGAAGAAAGTAGCCATGTGCAAGTCGACTTGTTGGGTCATATTTGTCCAGTTCTTACTTCCGTCATTTTTACTTCCGTCATTTTTACTTTTGTCATTTTTACTTTTGTCATTTTTACTTTTGTCATTTTTACTTTTGTAATTTTTACTTCCGTCATTTTTACTTCCGTAATTTTTACTTTTGTAGTTTTTACCACCGTAATTTTTACCGCCGTAATTTTTACTTCCGTAATTTTTACTTTTGTAGTTTTTACCACCGCAATTTTTACCGCAGTAATTTTTACTTCCGTAATTTTTACTTTTGTAGTTTTTACCACCGTAATTTTTACCGCAGTAATTTTTACTTCTGTAATTTGCCGAGGAGTCACCATCGTCTCCAGTACAGTACACCCAGCCTTTGTTCAAATCCCGATCGGCAGCGTGTTTTCCGCACGAGCTGTGGTGGTACCCTACCTTTCTACCTTCAACTCCCGAATACGACGTAAGGTCCTTCCAGCTGTGTATTTACACTGAAAGATAACCCAATAAGAGCTACAATGACCGTACATTGTATTGGGGGGAAGAAGAAGAAGGTAGTGTGATAACGAGAAGCCGATGTGGAAGGCCATGTGCAGCAATATCTGTCATCCTAGTTTGGAAATTTTCTCGCCTAATTGGAACCTCTTCAGTATTCGAAGATATTTTCCATACCGACGTTTGGAGAAGCTACTGTCTTCACCCGAATGCAATGTACACAGTCATTATAACCGTATCTGGTGCAACTTTGAGTCTAGATACAGCAATAATGAGGGTAGGTTTTATTTGGGTGTGTAGACAGTAGCACTGCTAATCTCATCACTAGTCC